ATTGTTCGAAAATGATGATTGGCTAGAGTACAGCCGTATTGGTTTCGAGCATAATCAAGGTTAAACGGCAGAACGGGGGAACCAACTAAGAAGTGTTGCTTCAATTTTCTTTGGGGCACAGGTAATCTTCTTAACTGTGGAAATTGAAAAAACATGATAATTGCTGTTAGACACACTGACTGAGCATAAATCATTTCGTCTGATCTACCAGTTTTCGCGGTGAAAACGGAAACAGTGAAAGCATGGATCAGAAGGCTGAAATGCAGTAAGGATGAACAGGGTAGGGGACGATCTGCTATCGAAGAGGAATTCTCCCTTTATGATATGGCTAACCGGTGACTTATGGCAAACGTTATAATAACCTGCGAACACAACAGATGTAACAAATCAAGTACATTTGGTGTATGTAAACTGCTGAAAACGACGGTCGTAATAAACACCAGAAACACCAGTTTCTGAGCGCTCTGAGCGAATGGACTCTCGAGCAACCATATTCCCGTGAGAATTGTTGTGAAAACTCTACCTTTAATTACAGTAGCGGGATTTCTGTAAAACAAAATGCGGAAATTTGTAGCGCAGAGTACTTTCTGCAAGAAAGTAACAATATTTTTTGCCTTAATTTATCTAGGATTTTCTCAGGCAAAGTGAGAGACAGCGTTTCTTTAAGACGTGTCAGTGAGCTTTGAATGAATCGGCAATGCCTTCACTATCAGTTTATTTTAGTGTTTTAACTGGGCAACTGAATCATCGACTACAAGCGATCGTATACTTAAAAATTCAACTACTAATACTCACCAAATTAGCAAGTGCAAAATGAGTTTGTAGTCGTCAAGAAGATTAGTATTCACTTTAATTGAAAGCGATAAGCAATTATTTCCGTGTTTCCTTTGAAGTAATTTTGCCTCTTTTGCACGAGTATATGACCTTCGAACGGCGATATTGGTCACCAGGATAAAGAACGGTAAAAAGTACGCTCTTCAGAAGCTACAGTAGCTGTAAATCTTATCATGAATCCCAAAAACAACAATTAAGGATGATAGAAATCTTTAAGATGAATCCTTTTGGAAGTAGCTCCATATACAATCTCGGGATGAAAACCGGAATCATGTTATGAATCTGAAGACAAAACCTGTACCATGTTATGCTACCATTATAGGTGCTGTATTGACATATTGATCTGAATAGATATTGGAATACGAAGGTACCCACCCTTCAAAACTGAAATCAGGTCTGCAAGAGAGGTATCGTTGATCACAGAAAGGGATCAATCCAACATGACATATTCAAAAAATAAATGATAGGGTTAACTCTCATATTCTAAAGTCGCACCTTTCTAGTTTCTCATTAAAGTACTGTTGGATATCTATTTTTGGCCCTTACCTGTATTTGTTTTACTTGTGCAGAAACCGGTCGTTACGTCTTGCAGTTCAAAACTGGGCAGGCTCCTTCGTAGTCCATCCTTCAATTGCACCGGCATTTCCGATTTCCATGCATAGATGATATCTTCTGTAGTGTAGGCGTCTGAAAGTTTATATTAAATGCGAAATAAGTACGAAATATGTTTACAGCTAGCCAGATCAATGAGGCACGTCTGTCTGTCCAATGGATAATACTCCAAGCTCATTGGGCACGAGAGCACAAGTGACAACCTAAACGTTCATGCAAATTACATACTGTAAACAGGTGATGAAAGTCTTCACGTTTCAATTAGGCGTTTGTATTCGGCCTATTGAAACAGCAAAAAGAAAGCTTTTTGGATCAAAACCTACCGCCACTGTGGACAACAAGAGAAAACTTCCGAAATATTACCAGTCACTCCTGAGACACGAGTCCAAACGTCGGCATTGGTCAATCATCTGTTGCACCGTATTATTGCAATACATATGCTCCCACAGGTTCAACTGACTAGGTTGAAGTGAAAGAATTTTTTCAAGAACTGCAACAGGCTTTGCTCCCAAAGTCCACTTATACCCTCGGCATCTCAGACATCAGTGCCAAGGACAGGCGAGAAAAGACCTGTGAAGTATTCTTCAGTAAGTACGGTACTAAAAAGTCGGTGAGTTGATGGGCTGATGACAACGGTTGAAACGTACGCTTGTGCATTGCCGATGCCTGAGTGAGGAAGAAGTCTATCGAGAGCTAGACAGGATCGCGCACAGCGCAGCGATGAAGAACGAGCTCGACTTCTTCCTGTACAACAATTTAATACCGGCAGCTCCCACAGGTTAGTGTGGGCCAGACTAACCTTCATTGAGAACAGTGAGAGAAAGGCACTACCGACGCAAATCGTAGACAATAACCGAAAGTATTCTACGACGCGGTGCTCAGACAAACCTCAAGCCTG